CCTATAAGGGGCCGAGTTCATTTCGATGCTATATAAAATTTACTCTTCTGCCGTAGCCATCACAGATTCTTCTTTTTTATTCTTCTTCAGATTCTATCTTGATATGTCGTCAAATAGCATCATTTCATCTTGGCAAAGATACTGCTCTCCTGCGTCGTCATTCTCAGTCTTCATCTGAACACAGGGTCCGCCATATTAATTAATATGGCGGAATTCAACTTAATAATTTAATTTAAATTATTATTAATTTAATTAATATCAAACAGGGTCCGCCATTAATTCAACACGTCTTACCAGTGAAGACAGTGACAGAACATATAACATGATATAAGTGATATAACGAAGTTGTTTTTGGTGTGAGTTCCTTCAGGAACAGGCCAACAGCTCCTAGTAGGCTAGTTAGAACTTCTCTTTGATGCTTGACTCGGTTGACTGATACGAATTATACGATTGTAAACAAATGACAACTGTGACTTCTGAGGTTGAGGACGTTGCGCTGAGACGGGTCACCAAACAAATCCTTCACTTGAGTGACATGCCTATAATGCCTATGATGACTTGCCCATATTCAGTACTCTAGAAGAGTTGACGTTATAAAGTATTTAAGAGGCCGGTGGAGCGGCCGCCAGGCGCGTTAATCCCTATGAGGGTTCTTAACAATGAAGGCAACCAATAACTCTCCTCCTAAATAAGATACAAGTCTGATCAACAGCAGCAACAACAGCAACAACAGCAGCAACAACAGCAACAACAACATCAGCAACAGCAAAGCAGCAACAGCAGCTACAACAACAGCAGCAACAGCATCAACAACAGCAGCAACAGCTGCAACCGCAGCAACAACAACAGCAGCAACAGCAACAGCAGAAAAAACAGCAACAACAACAACAGCAACAACAACAGCAGCAACAACAGCTACAACAACAGCAGCAACAGCAAAGCAGCAACAGCAGCAACAACAACAGCAGCAACAGCAGCAACCGCAGCAACTACAACAGCAGCAACAGCAGCAACGGGACCAGCTGCAACAGTAGCAACAACAACAGCAACAACAGCAGCAACAGCAAAGCAGCAACAACAGCAACAACAACAGCAGCAACAGCAACAGCAGCAACAGCAACAACAACAGCAGCAACAACATCAGCAGCAACAGCAGCAACAGCATCAACAACAACAGCAACAACAGCAGCAGCAACAACAACAACAGCAACAACAACAGCAGCAACAACAGCAGCAATTAGCCTTTTTCTCTCGGCTCCATCTGGCAAACCTGCTGAGTGAGAGTGCAGTCAGAGTCAGGCAGACAGTCGGTGTTGCCTGATGGGCCTTTTTAAGGCCAAATTTCGCAAACGTGGCCTTTTTTAAAATGCATTGGCCTGACCAAATTAATTTGGGCTTTTTGGCATTTTGGGGCCTTTTTTTATAAAAAATGTACTTTTTAATAATTTTGTCCTCCTAAAATTCAGTTATGTTCTAGTCGTGTACACTCAAATTTCGAGACGTAACTATGTCAACACTTCGATTTAGGTGGCAACACTGGCGAGTGCCGCCCAATCCGGGCAACACTGGTTGAACCATGGGACTATATCCAGTTGCCGACTCGTATTAATAACCATGGATGGCAGAGCTGAGAGCGCGGATAATCGAGTATAGTTTTCACTTCTAAAGTGTAGTAAATTCAGCATTAATTTTTGAGGCTACTGCAGTGTTTCTCGATACATTCAGCCTTCTGGTGTGAGTCACTACAAAATTTCACTTTGAATAAATAATAATAACAACTCCCCTCCAAGCTATGATAGGCGATATATTTCTTTCTGCGCATTCAAAAGTTGTGATAAATTTATAGGATTGACTTTTAATATTACCATAGTGTTGCAAGGACCACATCATCTTTATACCGCAGAAATGAGTTCAAATTTATTTTCATCTTCCGAATATAAATATTCTACCATCAATGCCAAAAACCATGGTTGAACTAAAACAAAGTTGACCCACGCGCAGCTGCGCCTTGCGTATGTCATTTGTTATTCCAACTGTGACGTCACCTTGGATCTTGTGACGTCATCTCGCGACGTCAAACTGATTCGTAACACCGATTTTACTAAAAATAAGACGAGCTGCATGCAATAAATAATTATTTTGGGCCATTTTGACGAGGTAAAATTTTTTAAATGCTCTCAATGATGACATAAAAACAATGTGTTGATCTGCACTATTTACATTTTGTTCCCACAGTGACGTCACTCTAGAGATGCGCAGAAAGGGGAAAAATCGTCATCGCCGCGTGTCAACCTTATATTAGTTCAAAAACTTCGCTACCTCACTTATGTTGCCTGCCACTTCACTATCTATTTTGTTAGCAAAACTAAGCTAAAACTCACTAACGCGAACGAAAAGCTTTATAGTTGTTAGGTGGCAATCGAATCCTAAATATCATGTATTATAGGGTTTTATTTACGGTCGGCGAGTAACGTGCAAATCGCTGTAGGCTGGCGCCTGGCGGCTTATGTAGCATTGACGGTAATTCAGCTCGTACACGTGATGAAATTGGTGTATTTTTTGCTGTCTGAAAGCCTTGAGAGTAAATGCATGCACTGCAAATGGTTAGAGTACCGTAAATCTAACATTTTTTATCAATTTCAAATGGGGCATATTTTGGCCTTTTTTGTGAGCAAATTTAGCCTTTTTCTCTTGGCTCCTTCTGGCAACCCTTCACTCACTGGTCAGGCACTCAGCTGTCAGCTCACTGAGCTCAGGCTCAGTCACTCAGTGTGAATTGAGAAGCCGTGTGGGATGTATGTGCTGCAGTCTGCCTGCAGACTTCTCTGCACGTAGTGCAAGTGACGTCTATCCGCCATAACACCTGTGCATCCGTTACAACTTCAAGTGCCACGTGTACTTCAGTTAAACCTTTTTTTGTTAAAATATTGTAAAAATGTGTCATATTTAGGTAGAACTCTTTAAAAATCTTTTTCTTGCTTTGTAAGAATGTGAAAGCTTTCCATTCTAAAACGTGCAGTGTTGGACTATTGCCTAGACTAAATGGGAGGTGCAATCGCTAAAAACAAATCTAAAGGCCCAACAAGCCGTGAGTAACTGATAAGAGTCATCAGGTTTCCGCTTTTACGAGTTTTTTTTTTGGATTCGTGTTATTATATAACGGTATAACTATAACCTATAACTAAGTCGCTGCATCAGATTTCAATGCACCTCACGCGTCTGCTCGTGTCGCTGCTGTTACCCTGTGCACGCTTGCACGACAGTCTTCGGTTCGACGCACTCTACTAAAGACTCTATCAATATCACATATGCTTGTTCAAAAATATGAATGACGAGCCATAAATGACCATACAAAGTTACGTCACTTGACGCCATTGAAAGTAGGCAAACTACCGGCTACCGAGCGCTCCGACCAAAAGTTTTTTTATCTCTCTTTATAGTTTATTAACTTACAACTAGCTACAGGTTTTGTCTTTATATTATTCTTTGAATCCATTCATGGATTTCATCTCTAAAGAATATCACGGCTAGTCTCTCGTATCAGCAGTCTTTATTTTCTTATATATCTGAATCTCAACTTCTTTGCAATGCACCGTCCTAAAAGCATAAGTGCGCGGAGTAACGTAAGATCTGTGATATAATCGTTATTTTGCTTTGTGATTCTCAATTGTTTTGCACTCAAATATTATTTCTGGATTTTTGCTTTAGGATCACTCAAACTCACTTGATAGAAACCACATGTGATATTTAACTATAGCTCATTTTTTTCTAAGATTTGCAGTACGAAATAACCGAACGCTTGCGTGGTCATAGACAGAGTCATTAAGAGCCGTCGTCGGGATCACCGGAAACGACCATCTTGCAACCAGCAGTCCAACATCCATTAAGCAATGAAAACCTAACTCGTATTTACATCTTTTAAATTGTGAAGTTATTTACCACTATGTAATTTTTTAATATAAAATAACGGGATCATTAACGGAATGCACTAATTGATTAGACAAATTGGTTTAAAATCACTTGAAAGTTAAAGAATAAACCAATTATTAGCCGAAAGAGTACCTATATAGTCGTGCCGTCGGGTTGCTTTGATTATCTTGAACGCTACTCAATTGCGCTTACCTGCACCGCTTCACACGTGAACAATAGTATACGACCTAACTTATTCTGCTTCATGGACTGCTTTTCAGAGTGAATTTTTTTAATACTTATACAGAACGTGCGCGAGTGATATTGTGGCTCGTGTTTTATGTTGCTTATAAAAATTAAATTCTGCTTCTGCTATAAATATCCGCCGACCGTAGTCTATTTTGAGTTAGTCAGACGAGTAATATTTGGACTATCTTTAGGTGTTTGTTCATTGAAATGATTTGGATTTAAATTATTTTTAACTATTCTATTAACTTATATTAACTTTCGCAGCCCCGTTTGTGAGAAAGGTTAAGGGGGAAAATAGGCACTGTGTGCGCATATGTGTGTGCAGCAGATGTCAACACTGTTGATTCGACAGGAGCTCGCTAAAAAGTACAGCTGCAACGTTCCCCTTGGTCATCACTGGATGACGGCAGCTGCGTGAACATCTGTTCCCAAAATTTCGCCTTGTATGTTTCGATAAATAGTCACATACTCTGGCGGCGTGACTGACATCAAGTAAACTGATTTTCGCGCAAAGCTATACAACATCCTAGAAGTGCTATATTTTTTAGCCAAGAGATGACTTGCAACATAAAAATTCTTTTAATATAGGTAAGCGATTAAACTCTTATTGTCCAGTTTATTTCCACATTTCTCTCATATAGGCGATGTGATGGATCCAATTTATAGATACAGTCGACGTAAGTGAATGGTTGCTGATACAATAAACTACTCTCGTGATTGTAATTTTGTTGCTACTATTTCGATCCTAATTAATAGTTTGATTGGGAATGGGCTGTACAAATGATATTTAATACCAAATGATGTTATTAGATCAACAGGAATAAAAAAAAAGACTGGACATCTTTTTAAATTGTTCCAGAATCACAATCAACAGTAGAAATAGCTACAAAACCCGCAAGGACGGCGTTCCTGGCTCCACATTTTCCGTGGCATTCAAAAATTACTTTGATCAAAATCAATATGAAAGCGTAGAAAAACACCATGAAATTGAGATAGGCGTATCGAAATAATTTTATAGTTATGCCTTCCTTGGATGAGGATGAACACCAAAGGAGCGCTGCAGATCTCTTGACTAGCGGTGTTGGTAGACATGACCGTTGTCTTATAGATGTGCCGCCAAAATCGGAACTGCTCGCTGAAGACGATGGCTGGGCGGATGATTGGCCCGAAGACGCAAATGCTGAGAGTACGGTATTGTACCGGGACTGGCAGGTACCGGGTGTAGTGGGGAATTATAGGTTGTAAGTACGCTATTGTACCGGGACTGGCAGGTACCGGGTGTAGTGGGGGAGTTGTGAGTACGGTATTGTACCGGGACTGGCAGGTACCGGGTGTAGTGGGGCAGTTGTGAGTACGGTATTGTACCGGGACTGGCAGGTACCGGGTGTAGTGGGGCAGTTGTGAGTACGGTATTGTACCGGGACTGGCAGGTACCGGGTGTAGTGGGGAATTCTGTGTTGTGAGTACGGTATTGTACCGGGACTGGCAGGTACCGGGTGTAGTGGGGGAATTATAGTTGTGAGTACGGTATTTTACCGGGACTAGCAGGATCTACTGGGTGTAAACGAGAATCATGTTGCTATGATTTCAGTAAATATTATTCCTGAGCTTGTAAAGCAAACATTACCATGCAGGTGCAAAGAATTGTGGATTGATCAGTCGCTACTGTTCTATCTGGAAGTTTCGTTTTCTTCTGTCTTCTTTATCTGTATCGTGTACTCGAGTTGCTATATGATCCTTAAAGAACTGCCTTCATTTCGGCCATGGAGCTGGATATGTTTCTTGTGATGAGTGTCGGTGTGTATTGAAAATTTCTTGTTGCCGAGTGTTGTCTCATCTTTGCTTTGGTTGAAATATTTTATTTTTATTATGTATATGTGCGAACAGCTCTGCTTTAAGCTTTAACTTGTAGTTACTGTGTTTTCCTGTTTATTTTCCTAAAATTTGGTTCACATAAAAATTTTCCCAAAAATTGCAAATTGCCTAATATTACCATCTCATTGCACCTTTATCAACTGTTTTATCGTTTTTGTTGAAATTGTGCAAATAAAATGTGCAAATCTGATTCTTCTAAATGCATTACTAATGCAACCACGTTTACAGTGTTATATGGTGTCGGGTGCTACGATACAATTACCGATGGCTTTTCTGGGGAATTTAAAATATTAAATTAAATTCCAGTGACAATTGCGACAATTGAGACAAATTGCGAAAAAGAAATGGGTTTTGCTTGAACTATCATCCTAGTTCCCCGAACGACCAATTTCCCTAATTGTACGAATTCCCCGTTAGCGCCATAATTTTCGTTCTAACGTCTCCCTGTGCTTGAACGTGTCGTCTATAACCTACAGTACACCGTAAAGTCTTAACCGTGCCCTAATCTACCATCCCCCGGCTCTGCAGACACGCGTCTCATCGAGAGCAATGGCGTGGACGAGTTCGGCTCCATCTCCCCGGCTGTGCCGAGCCAGGAGGAGGTGCGTGCTGCGCTAGGCATGATAAACTCATTCTATTGTATTCAATCAGAAACCTTTCCGCGTTATAACAAAATCATTTATTAAAATCCATCTTGTTTTCACTTGATATTGCCACGTCTTTAAAGAAGAATCATGTCAAATTAAATTTCGTGTTGCTTGCTGTCGTACGCATGTATTTCATTCCGTTATTGCTATTATATTTTTTTGTGAAATTTGCCAGGAATTTGAAGTTTAAATGACCGCATGTTACCGTACGCGCCAAAGCGTTGTTACCGTATGCACCCCAATAAAATACATAGGATGTAGATGATACGTTCAACATTAAATACGTACTTTGATGCGCAGAAGATCCCGTACCCGAAGTCTGTGTTCTACATCGTGGTGACGGAGGCTTGTGAGCGCTTCTCATACTATGGCATGAAAGGTTAGTACCCGCCCAAATGAATAGGTTTTAATTAACCGTTCTAAATACTAACAAGCTTTCTTTTTTTTCGATGCCTTAATAGCTATACCAGAAATCACGAGCACTTAAAGGACAGCCTGTCTGCAAAGATTGTACAACGCTGATGGGGCACAGCTTTACAATAAAATCCCTAGCGCCTCAGGCATGGACTTCCTCGAGAAACTAAAGTGGAATGAATATGTTTAAATGCAGCAAAAAAATTAATGTGAAAATTGCATGCGTGTAATGACCGGCCAAATTTCTCTGTGTGAAGCAGATGAAGAAGCCGCTATCCTGGATCGTTCAATGTCTGTTTAGGCCTGTGAAAAATGAAAAGCCTTTAATGTTGTCAATAAAATGTCAAAGTCAAACAAACATGAAATGCTTTTCTTGTAAGGAAGTAATTTTTTTCAAGTGTAGAATTTATTGTGGAACAAGTAGCAGGCCTCATTTTAATTGTTTGCGAAGCCTTAATTGCAACTAGAATTTCCTGCAAATTCTAAAAATTTTATTCTTATTTAATTTCAATCACTTTTTACTCAAAAATCACAAGCAGTTTGTCTCACTTTGTAAACTGATTATATATATTATTTCCAGCAATCCTGACTTTCTACCTGAAGTTCCGGCTGCTGTTTTCCGAGGATGAGGCTACAGTCATCTACCATGCGTGGTCGATGCTATGCTACTTCACCCCTATCATGGGTTCCCTCATTGCCGACCTTGCTCTCGGCAGATACAGGTATTGTGTTTCCTTCTCGTTCATCTCTGCAATTGATTATTTATTGATATACTTTCCTTTTGTGTTTGCGTATTATGTTGCCCTTAGCCGACTAATTTCAACGTTATTTTCGTGGTTGTCCTAACGCTGTATGTATAATGTAACCTTCGAAACGCCCAATATTGTTTCTTTTCCAGAGAGTGTTGATGTCTAAAACGCGCGATGACTCGTAGCAAATGTAGTTATACCTTCTCTATGTAAAAGAATTTCTATTATAGCTCATTTATACACCACTCATATTTTGTTCAACATCAGAACAATCCTGTACCTCTCGGTGGTGTATCTTTTTGGCAACCTCACCCTTTCCTTGTCTGCCTTCACGCCCATTGCTCCGACACTACCGCGGCAAGTGTGAGTACATTCCAGGTACCAGTAATCGCAAAAGTACCATTATTGTAAAAGTGTAGTTAAACCATAAATTAGTGCAGTGATATTTGTGATCGAGTACCACTTTGAGGTCCCGTACAGTCGTCTCGTACCACAGACTAAAACCATATTAGCCTCTAACGTATTATAGCAGTCGATTCATTTATCTTATTTGATGGTATTAATACCATGATTGAAACAGTGTAGTTAAACCATGAATTAGTGCAGTGATATTTGTAATCGAGTGGTACCACTTTGAGGTCCCGTACAGTCGTCTCGTACAACAGACTAAAATCATATTAGCCTTTAATATATTAAAACAGTCGATGCTTTTATCTTATTTGATGCGCTAATATTAGTACATGAAGTAAGTGCCCTGTTGAAATTCAACGGTGGACGGTTGGGACCTAGTGTGTGGCGTATGGCAACCGTAGCAAATCACTGGCCGATAGTATTTTGTGTGACAATAACCATTTTAGTGAAGTAAGAAGTAACTAACATCAAATCTTTCATAACCCACTATCTGTTAGCATACCTACTAATATTATTTTTCGTATCGCAATTGAGGAACATTGGATTTGAGGAAATTATTTAGTTGAAATAGTTGTCCAAGTCATGTTAATTAACAAAAAAATTATTTTAGATGAAAAGAAATTACCATAACTGCCCGATGAAGGAATTTCGATTGGAAAACGAACATGTTGAAATTTATGATGATTTTTATCGGAATGTAAATAACAATAATTATCACCTTGGGCTGCATCACTTACCTAAGTTTCACGCTATCAGCGGGACGGCAATGTTCGGTCTGGTGCTCATTGCCATCGGCACAGGAGGCATCAAGCCTTGCGTCTCAGCGTTTGGTGGGGATCAGTTCGTTCTCCCACAACAAGCTAGAGAACTCGCCGCCTTTTTCTCTATATTCTATTTCAGGTGTGAAATGAACAGTAATATCAAGGCTATACTTTCATGTAATTATCTTTATTTCGTGAATATTTTTCCGTTTTCAATAAGCATTCACTAGGCATTGTATGTTGTGTTGTGTTCTTGCCATCATATTCGTTTATGTCTACATTGCATGTTTCCGTGGCTTGTCCAAATATTATTATTTTCGATATAAATTTTAAATTTTCTTCCTATTTTTTTCTTGTCTTTATGTGCTATTATTTTTTTTTGTCAAACTTCAACGATGGCGTAGGGCTTGTTATTTTAGAGCCTCAGCTTAAATTTTGTCATTAAATATCGGCAAAGCGTTGACGATTCATCGCATAATCGTTTTTTATTAATTCTGGTCCTGAGCTGGTCTTGCGAAATGTTTTTATTAATGCTCGTCGTTCTTACGCAGCATCAACCTTGGGTCGCTTCTATCAACTGTGATCTCGCCTCTCCTGCGGGAACACACAACCTGCTTCAATGACCAATGCTACTTCGCCGCATTCGGGTTCCCGGCTATTCTCATGGGCGTCGCTCTCAGTACGTCCTAGAAGTCGTTTTGTCTTGTCAGTTGTTTTTGTACATTGAATATTTGCATTGCAATAGGTACGGTATCCTCTGGTTGTTACCTCATGATCACTTTGTTGAGCAGTGCTTGCGTAACATACCTTGTGCCCAAAGATCGGATCCAACCTCCTGTTGAGGTAAATTCCGTCCACTAGGACATTGTGACTTGTCTTAATTGCCTTTGTTTCTCTCTTTTTTCGTGCATATATTTGCCATTGCACCCCACTCACCCTAGACCTTGCCCTCCTGAATGAGGAGGGGCCCCATCCCGGACTTTCGGGGCTTGCCCCAGGAGCTCAGGGCTCTGAACCTTGTCCCTCACGACCAAGACTACCCACAAAGACTGAAAATCATCCATATTCATCTTAATCTCATCCCAACTATGCCTCTCCGACATCATCAACTAAACTCACTCGCTTAAGATCACCCACCGATATGATTCAACTCGAAAACATTGACCCTAGACTCACTATATTGACCGCTCACAAGTCTTTCAGACCACATTTAAAGACATAAACGCTACAATAATAAACTGATACCACCACAGCTTTATACGCCGCTACTGACGACATCTCAGCAAAAGACCGACTGACATTCAAAAAAGCAATTGATGCATTCAAGAAAATTAACTTAGCACCAATCATTCCTCTTGAGATCTAAAAGGTCCGAACGCACAATATTTGTAAGACAGCTCGACACAGATACAGGCAGACGAACCTCGACTTGATCAAGTACAAAATAACGCGACTACAAAACTGGATCCACATGCACGAAATAATTATAATCAAGGATTACACCCATGTCATCAAAATGATAACAACTGACTCAACAATCGCTCAAGGAATCTTAAACAAATGTTTTGCCATGTTCAACACCCGTTTCACCCACAGCCAGTGTGAGCAAGAGAAATATACCAACATTCTGATACGCTACAAATGTTAGAATTCGAGGACCATCCTACCCACCTATTTGCACCGCCATCACACCATCCAGCTCAGAATGCGCAGCCCATTACCTCATCTGCTCGCAATGCCCCCACATCCTCAAAAATGTTTGAATTGCGACTTCGACCATAGAACACTTGCCGCCAACTTCACCTACAGGAAAAAAATTAGATCAGTACTCACTGCAGTGAGTGACAGAAAGCGCATTTTTCTCGTCGACGCAAACGTAAAGTCAAGGACAGACAGACGGACGGACAGACAAACGGACAGACATGACGAGCACAATAGCGCATTTTTTCCATAAATGAGAAAATGGGCTAAAAAATAATTCTAGACTAATAGAAAAGCATGCAGGACTAACAATTACAAAAAAGCCAAAACACGTATGTCGAAATCGCCAAACACGCAATCAAACAAACGAACATACCCTAACAAAATATTACCCTCATTAATTCCATACCTACCATATACAAACTTACGGCAATCATCCTAGAAGCACACATAGCCCGCACCGCCAGACAGGAGGGGTTCGGCTCAATACTCTCCAAATTTTGAAAAGCTAATTATGACATCGACGCTACATTCCTCGACCGAGATTCGTGAAAAATCTTCAACTTTTTTTACAAGCACGACAAAAATCAACCACAAGAAGACATCACCGATTTCATAATCAGAAACGACCTCTTATATGATGATGACCTTAGAAAATCCTCACTAAATCTAACTCAACAGGAAGCAGACTGCGAAGAAACTCTAGAGAAACTCTACCTCCAACAACAACAACAACAATCTTATGACGATAACCGAAACCCTATAATATGGAAAGCGAAGAAAATTATCATGACCCAACCATCACCGCACCTGGACTTGCAAAACCTATTCTGATCGAACTTTTCAGTACCTACACCACAACATCAATTTTCAAGAAAACAAAGGCGTACAGTGTAAAACATCCTCCTCCAACATGACATCACAGCGTTCAATAAAAATTATCCCACACAACGTGCAAGCTTGCACCAAGAATAAATTCGCGCTCGCCAACATCTACAACAACATCGACCCTTGATATCATTCTGCTGAACGACCACTCCCCTACCAAAAACACTCCTATAAAAATCTTAAACTACCATGCGCGCACAACTAATAAAGACAACGCCCAACACGCCAGTGTTGCCATCGCGATCAAGAACCATATTCCCTACAAGTTGCACGTTACCTATATTCCGATATGCTGGCCATAGCAATAGACACCCTACAATGACCTCTCACTATTTTTATCGCACATTTTCGCCTTCTACTATCGTATCCGTTTCACCGTTTTCTTCCTGGCCACCCTGAGCAACGTCTTGATCTTTTCCCGCATTTCTAGTGGCACCGCTGCCGCCACGTAATCGCTGGGCATGTATTACATAGTAGCGAAAAGGCCGTCGTGTAGTAAAACTCCGTCTCCCGGCAGCTGTTCGAAAAGCCAGAATGACTTGACTCTTGAGTGTGCTTTAGAGGATTGCTAATGACTCGAAAACATGTTTCACATGGCCATCACAACATTAAATATGTACATCTCTACTCTAATTTGATGTGCTAAAATAGACTTAACCTGAGAGCTAGATTAAGCGAAAAAGTTGGCAATGATGAAATACCTGTCAAAGTTCTAAACACTTCTTTACAAAACCTTTTCCTTATATATATTTGTTGTCTCACCATAATATTTTTTGTGCAGTGGTGTTCCTCTCGGGAACACCTTTGTACAAGAAGGTTCCTGCATCAGGCACCATCTTGACCACAACGGCGTCATGCATCTGGGTACTACTTCTTCTAACCCGTGTCATGAAATACGCATTCGGTACCAGAAGTCTTCTTTCATCCTTTCGCAATTTTCAGAAAACGAACACTAATTTTTAGTGTCACTAGATCCATGTTCGCACATTCAATTTTTATAACTCGTATACTTTTCCTTTCGCAATTTTATCCTAATACAAGTGCAAATGAGGCATGACAGAATTTTCTATCACAGTCTATATTTTTCACGGTAGCTTATCCGCATAATAGCAGTTTGTCTCTTGTCCGATTGTCAGGAATTATATTCCTACGTTTGTGGGATCATTAGCTGACCAGCAAATGTTCTTGATATGAAATAATTCCATCGTTGCACACAGCTTGGAGCGAGCGGGAAGTTGAAGGCATTGACGGGCAAGGTTCCATCACGGATGCACTGGCTGGACCACGCCAGAGGGCGGCACGGTGACGCCATAGTAGAAGATGTGAGGGTCTTCACATCCATTCTGGTGCTTTACCTGCCATTACCCCTCTTCTGGGCGCTCTACAACCAACAGGTCTCTTGCCTCGTGTCTCGTTCCGTAAGGTCTTTCTTTATAATGATTGTGTGTTGCTGAAATGAGCTGCTTATAATTTATCTTAAATCAGATGCTATGGAAAAACTGCTCTAAAGATCAGAACTTCTCTGTACAACAGCGTCTGAAATGTGATAGACTGGCTGTAATTGCGTCACAGATCAGCAGATGGATTGCCGTTACACATACCGTATTTTTCTTAGCAATTCTTAGCCTAACTCATATTTGATGGAAATATGCTGAGCCTCTTTCGTTTAATGCCTTTAAAGGCCTTTAACCACTCAGTGTCAACTCACTGTTTTCTCGGTCTTCAAATTAAAGATCATATAATCTTCCAATCTTCTACTCGTAACTTAGAATAGTGCTTGATTTTTCGTGTTTAGGGCTCGCGTTGGGTGTTCCAAGCTGCCAAGATGGACGGCAAGGTCGGCGCTATTACCATTCAGCCGGACCAGATGCAGGTGCGTCGTCTTGAAATAGATCATTAAAGAAAACGCCTATTTTATGAACTGCTTCTAGTAATATCTAGTCCCGCAATAAATACTTCTCCTGAAGAGTTTAATATCGCCTAGAGCGGAATGTCATGAGATATATAGCTATAATCGTAAGGTATGATAACAACCCCAAATTCTAGACGTAACTCGTCCAATTACATATAGGCTTAACTTCATCAACAACTAATTCATCTAATGGTGAAGAATTGAAATTTAAATATTGAAATGTAAAGCTGTAAATATTACGTAGATTTCTTTTGAATTTTACTTTTGTATTACTCAGTTAACAGTTAAGCTAAGTATTTTTTGTATCATAGAAAAACGTTGAGGACTGTTGAAAAGATTTGATATGAATCAAACTTTGTTTACAACACTAACGTTCATGATCGGTGCGTTCGGTGCAATTATTTGGGCATTTTTTTTAATCGTGACATTTGAACAGGTGATCAACCCGCTGCTGATCATGCTACTGGTGCCGCTGATGGAGAAGTACGGCTACGACCTGCTGGCTAAGGCGGGATGGCTCAGGAAGCCCTTGCAGCGCGTCGTGGCCGGGGGCGTTATTGCCGCGTGCGCCTTCGCTGTTGCGGCCATATTGCAGGCCAAGATGGAGGTATAGCTTAGTCTGGTTTGGTCTAAAATATTCATCAAGACAGAAAGAAATATCAAAATAAGAAGACATGCTTGAATGGGTATATCCTGAGGCTGATGGGATAATGAAAATAGTATCGATTCAAATAAATTGTACGATGTTAGACAGGATTTCATGGAGAGGTAATGGCGAAACGCAGCGACAGATGTTGGACGGAGAATGAAAATGCAGTAAATAAGAATAGGTTGTTTATGTGAATTCGTGTAGGTAAAACTATGTGAAAAAAGAATGTGGAATTATGGTGAAGGGGTCGCTTTTTTCCGCGACGACTCACACGACCCAGCTCTCGGCTTAGATGCTGATGCCATGTACTTTCAAAAATTTTATGGAGCCTTTTTATTCGCTGTGTGTCCTTTTTATTCGCTGTGTGTAATGACAACCAAGCTTGAAGCTACTCAGCCAAATATAGACAATATGATTGATTGTGTCACCATTGAACGTGTAATGAGCGAGGTTTTCTACAGTACAACGACTCAATGGGGCTGGAACGCATCAATGTGTTGTGGCAGGTCCCTCAGTACGTCCTCATCACGCTGGGGGAGGTTTTCTTCTCGGTGTCGGGGCTGCAGTTCTCCTTCACTGAGGTACAAAACCCAACCCAAAACAAGCGTTTGTTTATTCATATTTTGAACCAGTCTATTCGTTTCTATTTTCGTTTGCTGTAGTTCTTTTTCGCTGCGGATGGCGTAATGAGATTTCGAAATGTCGTTTTGAGCTTTATGTAATTGTATTATTGTATTTCTAGTCACCATAGAGATTAACTGGTCAATCCCCGATCTAATAAGTTTCGGCATTCTCGTGTATTTTTGACCAAATTTTTCCCGTTTAATGCCTCATTGTCGAGTTGAGAACTGAAATTTACCGAGTTCAGTGAAATTATTTTACAAGCTTTTGTGTACAATAATGTAGTTATCACCATTACGTTAATAATTTTCTTTTATTATGAATTGTACATGCACGATGTTCTCCCAGGCGCCCGTGAGCATGAGGAGTGTGGTGCAGGCGGCGTGGCTGCTCACCACAGCTGTGGGTGACCTCATGGTCGTCTGGGTTGCCCACTCCGCTAAGCTCTCTTCTCAGGTGACACGTCCGCTGCTGTTACTCTCTTGCCTGTAGATTCTTAATGAGATGCCTGGATGTGCAATGAACATTGTGTACCGTGTAGTTCCCAATTTTAGATTCTTCATGCACCTAATAATAAATAATAATACACTTAGTTCGCAATTGTTTTAGAATCTTCACAAACTTAAGTATCGAGTCATTCATGTACCGTCGATTTTATTCGATTGTAGGTTTTCTATGATTCGACTCGATGTACGGTAAACGTAGATGTATGGGATACCTTTACAGATTGTGCAGCTCAATATTTGATGTACCATAACGCGGAATTATGAATTGACATGGATAATATTACAGGTTAACAAATGTGATTTGTTCCATCATTGCAGACGTATGAGTTCACACTCTTCTCGTGCCTCATGCTGCTCGACATGATCATTTTTGCTGTACTGGCGCACTTCTACTCGCCTTACCGCCCCGTACCGCACGCCGGCACCGCGCAGCCATCCTCGGAGAGCGATGATGAGACTCTAGCTCTCCATGGACCTAGACTATCGGTATTAAACGATTACAAAGACTGAAAATAAACGTAAGAATGTCAAAGTTAAGTGGAGTTTTTCTTTACAAGCGTCAAAATGCTAATGTTAATGGCGTCAAAACTATCGAAAGATAGTCGCTTATAGAAGTCTCTTATTCGAACATATCTACTGTAATTGCGACCGACCCATCAGCAATTTTTTATCGTAATAACAATCCATTTTATCTGAAGATCTTTAATTCATTCTCTATGATAATTCATTGTTTTTATATTGGAACAGACGCCGTTCCAGCCACTCGACCATGACTCTGTGGTCCTGCCCGATGACGACCCGACGAGTTACGCGCTGGACGACGAAGAGACGAGCGTCTATGACTCAACGAGACCGCCTCCCGTCAGACCGCAATACGAGGCTCTCAACGGCGCATGATGAGGCTCTCAACGGCGCATGATGAGGCTCTCAACGGCGCATGATGAGGCTCTTAACGGCGCATGATGAGGCTCTTAACTGCGCATGATGAGGCTCTCAACGGCGCATGATGAGGCTCTCAACGGCGCATGATGAGGCTCTCAACGGCGCATGATGAGGCTCTGAACGGCGCATGATGAGGCTCTTAACTGCTCACACTGTTTGAAAAAAAACGGGTTGACCGGCGTTCTAATGACCGGCCGTCCTGTGAAATTAGACTGTTATGGTTCGTGTTTCATATGTTGACATCCCAAAAATACTGCGACATGCCACCGAAACGCTGGTCGGATCGTTATTTTCTAGCTTGGTTAGAACAGTGCAGTATTCAGCTGTATACATGTTGATGTTGTGAACGTGTTTGAGCTGTGCATGTGACTATGGTTCTTATTCTATCATTTGAATACAAGCTGTGTGTGCGTCACAGTTTCGTAAATGGTATTTTCATTGATGAATTTTCCGCTGTCGTCTAGAAGATTGGCATACCCAGATAATCAAATAATCGATTTTACTTGAAAATGTCTTCACTCTTTACAATATTTTTCCAGATTTCATCAAAGCTGGAATGAAAACAAATGTGAATGGATTGATAAAAGGCTCACTTGTGTTATAGTACTTGATCGTTCCTTAGAAATTTGAATATCGCAAGGACAGTTATTCCTAAAATAATCAGATTATTAATAAATAATTAAGATTATTTCTGGTATCAGCACTTCTTGTGATATTTTATTTTCAACAATTTATTTTTTCACTTAGTTTTACTAGGATAATTTATTTACTTACTGCTTTTAATCTCGACCTATCAGGGTATTTTTGTTATTTGCACTGCTTTATTATTTATTGCCTTGATGTTCATTAAGAAATTATTTGGCCAGCGTTACTTGTATTGAAATGCATTAGATGCATCTGTCTAGTATTAAAGTTGACGGCGTGTTCGTAAAGGAAGGAAACTCATAAATTTTTAGTAAACGTTTTACTATAATAAGTATTTTTCCTATTATGACGGCAATGCAGTAATTAGATTAAAACACCTTGCGGACATTCGGTGACTTGTCATTAGCTCGTTACGCGTTAAGGAGTAAACGGAGTCTAGTCATTTATTTCGTTTTATTTATACAAATGCAGAATTTGGGGGTCTAGACCAAGTTACAGTAATCGCTTTTAGCTTTCGGCTTATTTTAGTATCTCTGAAACTTGCAAGTTGGACGTCATTGCTATCGTTTATCGAACTTTGTTTCCGTAATCATTGTTACGCTCCGGCCACATAAATACATAAATATCCAGAATCAAAAGGATCAGGTTTCTTCACTTGACATTTGGTTCCTCACATGACGACCCAATCACGAAGTGTCCTATAATACTAATGATGTCCCTTCCGCTCTTGATCGTAACTTTAGTGACCTCCAGCTTTATTTACAGCTCTGTACATCAGACTAAACTCCTCAAATTTCTTATTTCTCCTGATTACATCATGATCAGATCTTTTGAACATTGTAATTCAAAATGTTAATGTAATTTTCATGAATAATTTCAAATTGAGATTGTTTCACCAAACAGCATTCTTCACTATGATCTCAGCACTGCCTGAAGCCAGTTTTTTACGTCTTTGACGCCTTGTCCAGTTTTGGCCACGACTGGAACCACTTGCAGGTTGTAAATCATTCGACACTTTGCGTCCATCATTCCAAGCCACTCAGCCATCTCAAAAGGCGTGGCGGCGTTCGGAAGATCCTGTTTGTTCGCCAAAATCAACAGTGGCGTTTTCTGAAGGCTATTGTTCTCGATGAGCTTCCAGAGTTCCTACTTAGCTTCTGGAAATCGCTCGCGATCGGACGAATCCACGACAAAGATGACTGCGTGCGTCGTGTCATCTAAATACTAAATCCAGATATCACGAAAACGTGTCTGACCACCCACGTCCCACACCTACAGGGTCAAGGGACCTACTTCGATGTACTCGAGGTTGAATCCTAAAGTGGGAACGGTGAACTCTGGAGTATATCCCGCCATGCAAGTTTAAATTGTCGTTTTGCCTGCCGCATCCAGTCCTAGCATTACAACTCGCCGGCGGTTGTCAGCTCGCGTGGCAGACAACACTCCTCCCATAGTTGTCTTAATATACGGAAAGGTAATTTAAGAAAGATAGGATAAGTATGCCAGCTCATATTTTACTAACTCTGTATAGTATACATGATACCCATTCTTCACCGACCGAGCAGCGATAAATTTATGCTTAATTAAACTATGTTATTTCACGACGAATTGATTCCGTTTTGCCCAGCTGAAGCACCTGAAGCGTTTAGCGTTCTAATGCCAAGTGCAGAAACTGCTTTCGATTTTTGAACGCATCAGTGGAATTAAAAGTGAAGAGAAAGCGGAGAAGCGCAGCAAGAAGAGAAGTTGTTAGTGATTGTCATGCGCGGCTGCCTTCTATTAGCCGGACGCATGCATGGGCTGCATCTTGAAATAGTTTATCCCTTTGTTTACTGATCTATGAACGAACGTCAATGCTATTCGTATGGACTGACTTGGCCAATGGCCACAAGGGTTGCCGTTAGTCGATCAAGTGTTTTGATGGATGTCGTGTCTTAGTTTACCGTAGGTCGTGCCTTATGTTTCAGCGTCTAACTAAGAGTCCCCCAAATTATATTTAGATGCATTTTATAAAAAAAGTGCTCTCGAATACAGTCGATGATCGAGTTTTGTGACTGCGGGAATGTAACAATAATAATCACCTTGTCTATATTAACTGTCGGCAATTTGGTGCTCGCAGTGTAACTGCTTTAACTGCTGTCGCCCTACCCATATGAAACCGAACGATTAGATAAGTGAAAACAATATTTTTACATTATAAATAATATAAACAGACTTTCGTTCTTGTGTGTTGCATTTAACTGAATATTTATTTCTCGAATCTAAAATAATGTTTTTTAGAACTCCGTGTATTTCTCTGCCCCTGCCTTTGCCAACTGATAAACTGCCGTCTATTCACGTCCAATAGTGCGGTAGCGCCGTTCGGCCGAGTTAATATCATATTCGTGCGGATTTTATCAGAATAAATCAAAACTGGGCCAAATATTCCAAAGCATTGGACAACTTTGAAGATTATTCCCCTTTGGGCAGATTGGAAGTCGTATCTACAGCAGCTTGTAGAAGCTCAATATTATTGCGCAATATTTTGGTTTGTGCAATGCCATCGAGCGTCAAGGGGCTGTTTAATTTTACACAGACCCTAGTAGCTGACCTAACTGCTAAGAAAGCGACGAGCGTCGTCATTCCTTGCCTGCAGTCGTCGGGTGTGCAGCGCGCTGCTCCGTAGTGGCTCGGCGGTCGCCACGTTGATTAGGTTGTTGTTAATCTGACCGGTGACGGCTCATATGTGTTGTTCCCGCACTAACCTAACCGATTGACACGAGATAAACATTGAGTGATATACACAAACATTGAGTTATACGGCTAAATGGTGAAAATCTCGTGTGGCTTTCAAGCTTAATTCAATGGCTCCTAATTGAATTATTCCAATATTACTATTTTTGTCGAGATTTTTTTTTCGCAAAAAAATTGAACTCAACATGATAACCGTGATAATTTTAGGAACGAAGGAGTTTTTCAGCTTTGCTTGACAAATTTCTTAGTTAATGAGTTTCATTGGAAATAATGTGTCAGGAGTTTAAGCGATCAGATTCCATTTGGGAACGAGGTATTTTTGACACACTTGCAAACGTTGCAGTAGACCCTGAAATAGTATTCTCGTCTTCATATTATTGAATCGTGTCTCCAAGATATTGCAAATAAAAAGTGTCAAATTAAAATTAGATATTATAGAGTCATTCTTCTCGAAGGGATGTCTCCAGGCACTAACCCTCTACCTTATGCATTGAAAAGAATGTCATCCGACTTTATGTCAATCCTAAAAGAATGAATCCTAAAGAATCCTAAAAGAATGTCAATCCTAATTGAATTATAATATTGCGCACAAATACCTTCATCGCATCATGCCTTCATCCATTACGTGAGCATGCAAGTGTAGGTATTTGGTTGTCTCGGAAATCTGAACGAGATAGCTGTGTTCTTGTACAATCTGATTTTTCTTTTCACTGAAAAACTTGTGAGCTGTCGAACGTGCTGACTTTTCGGACGACAACAATACGACGGTTTTCTCGTTCTTCTGGACGTGCGGAGCATAGAAACGGAGGAAGTGTGCATCGAGTATCGACAATGTTTTTATCTTAAAGAAGGTGAGACATTAAATTTTTTCAAATATCGTTTTCTCTGTCTCTACTTTCTTAGATAAAGGCTTCCTGCATCGTCCTCTGACGAGCTGTTCGACCTGGTGTTAAATCACCTCGTGAAAATAAGCAACGTTCCTGTTACCGCCAAGCTTTCGTTTAGAGCACCTTAAACACATCAATATTTTCAATGGTGTTAATGCACGCCCATTAGGTATATTTATTTATACTCGTATGTATATATAAGCGTGAATGCGTGATACTCGCAATTGAAGGTTAGGCCAACACGAGGCGTGCTCGATGAAACACTCGCTGCTGGCTCTCACTGCATACTAACCTCGTTTGAATGTAGAGTTTCTATTTCCTTGCAAATGTTTACCTAATTGTTTCAATTGCAGGAGTTTGTAGTTGAAGTTCTTCTCTTAAAAGGTGAAATTGATAATATTATTAAATAATTTAAAATAGGCTGCGAAAATGATACAGATATGATTTTAAACAGTATAATCAATGTACGTTATATTTATTTAATCACGTTATACGCGTTACAAACTGCACTTGGTTATGATCCCAGAAGATTACTCTTTCTGTTTTCTGAAAATACGTGTATCATATCTATGAAATAATATTCAGAACATAACACGCGTCATTTGTTAAGGTTTCATCATAACGATGATCACTGTACACGCTCAGTGATCAGCCCTGCGATGGTTTGGTGCACAGAGAACCCTGATTCGGCAACACAGCAATGATCCATAATATTCAAATGCAAATGCAAAATTTAAGATGCAAAAACACTGCGATGATGGACGATGCGAATGTACATTCCGATGAACAACGGAATGCGCAGTGCGCACGAATGGAAGACATCACGAAATAAAAAAAAGCGTCACGCACTCGTTCTCTCTGTAAAAGCGTGTCACGCGCTCCTCAGATCACCATGGGCGGAAGATGACAGAATTGACGCTAATTTGCCAATTGCAAGTTTGTCTTGCGCCTGCTGACTCGTCAGTCCCAATAATCATGTGTTTCATAATCAATATCCGCGTTTCATCGTCGTATTGACTACAGTAATCCATTCCTTCACAATTACTTGGATGCGTTGGAGGGGCACACGTTGAATGGGAAAAGCGTTGGATGGGCGATTCTATTTCGATTGAAGGAAAATATGCGTTGTGAGGTTTGTTTTTTAATAATTCAAATGTCAAGAGTATGTTACCAGAAGGTTTTTAACGTAGCGCAGGGTTAAATGTTTCTAATTTGCTAAAAAATCTGATATGTCAAAAAAGTTAAATACATAATTACTAAGTTGTGATTCCATTTTTGAAGTGTTTTAACCAAAGAAATCTTTCTAGACACTGTAACCAATATTGATATCTAACCAATCTCAATTGAAACATTATTAACGTAAGTTAATTGAATCACAACTTTACATGTTGAATTCGCCTAAATGTTTTGACCTCGTAATATCGTCATGAGCTTTGAAAACCTAAAATAAATGCGTGCGTTAACTGAAGGGATGAAACAGATTCGCCATTAAAAAATATTTGATTGATGATAATGAAGCAGCATGTATCCACGCAGTCCTTGAACGTTGGCAATCTCGCCTATCGTCGTAGCATCCGCAATTTGATTTAATTTGAAGGACGCACTCCAATCCGCAACATTGTCGGCTCTCAGCCCGAAGTGGAGGAAACCACGCGACGCCGACAATCATCATCTGCAGTTTGCCCCTGCTAGAGGTTTGAAATTTTGTTATCACGACGACGCAGATCTGAGAGGCTCTCCCAATTAATGAACCCCGACCTTGCGGATGTGCCTTGCAGATATTTACTATGATGAACTTGGGGTGTGTTATCGCTGGCCGACTGTCTTCTCTACATACATTAGGGACCATTAAGCTGGCTGCGGTGCTCATTTATTCTTCGCTCTGAACAACTGTCGCGCCATCTGTCCCTATATCATCTCAATTGTTACGTTGAGCTCACCTGCAAATTTTTCCTAGTCCCCTATTCAATCACAGTTGATTTATTAGCGTCACCGTGAAAAGTTCTTCTCAAGTCTCATTCAATCTGCGTTTAAATTCAAGTTCAAATCAATATCTCAATTCTGAAATGGATATTTTAGGATTCTTCTAAAGGTGTTTATATGTGCTAAGAACGGTTCATCATTACACATGCTCAGCTTACGAATACATTGCATTTTGAGCTCTTTTCGTTAATTTACTTTGTGCAAAATAACATTTTTTCATTATTGGGCCTACTTGAAACTGGTGTTCTCAATCAGCCCTACTTTAATTCTAAAATGTAACGTTTCTTATTTTTGCCTCTATCTCAACTGATTATTTAGGAATGGCGACAACAAATTTGCAAGCTGTCATAGCAGAGAACATCTCGAGAATTGCCACTTCCACTTGCATTGAAAATCTTCGACAAGTCTGTTGCGTGAGGAAGATGGAAAAGCTCCTGTGTGATGGCATGAGGTGCGACGACTTATGCATGACGAGTTTTCACTAATTAGTTCTATCACTGCAAGCCGCCGTCATGAGGGCTTAGTATCTCTTGGAGCTACAGCATGGCAGATAGCGAGCCTGACGAGCGATCATGCTCATCCGGTCGAGAGCTTCTGCCGTCAAAGTAAGATTAAACCTTCCTTGAAAGTGAATTCAAATAACCATAATTTGAATATTATTCATCTTCCGAAGAGTTATTCACCACATAGTAGTACGAGTATGCCTTCTAGCTTTATGTTGAAAATGCGGACTCTTAATTTGCTGGCTTGTATGGAATGAAATGCTGACTCATTTGTAAATCTTGTTCTATCATTGTAAAATAAATGTAGATTTGTTTACCTTTCTTTCGCGCAGTAAATAAAGAGAGAACAACGTTTGACGTGCTGCTTATCTTGCTCTCTCTTTCGCGTTAAAATATACAAGCATCTTATTTATCGTTCTCCCTCATGTTAAAATAATTATTATCTCTAGCAGCTTCCATCTATTGTAAAGTTTTTGTTGTGTGCGTCTACATGTGAAGTTTACGATGATAGAAAACTTTTAATATTAAAAATATACTAAATCCAATATTTGCTCTTCTTACCGTTATCACGTGTAGGAAATGCTGCCAACCTCATCAAACGTTCTCTATGTAATGCATGTCCGTGTAGGAAGCTCACCGATTCCTTAATTGCGATAAAACTTGCATAATTATGTCTCAAGAAATAACGAAGTTTTCCCATGGGAAAGTCACGGCGTCATAAGTATGTCACCGCGCACCGTGCGTGGCGTAGCCTCAAAGCGGAACCTTCTTGTAGCCTCCGTTGTCTTGATGAGCGTCGCTGTTTTTGGTTTGTTTCACTGCTCATAAATTATTAAAGTGTGCCTAATTGAAGAACGCGCATCCGTTCTCCATACTCATCTGATTTTCTTACGAAAGCTTCCCGTCGATGCATGCATACCTCGATAATGAGCTACTATATAACGTATAGTAAAAAATTTCTAGGTGACAGGTAACCGGCAATAAACATCGCGTCTGCTTAAGTGCCAATTGTCGCGGGCGACTTATGTACTGGTCGTCACAGGCGACTGAGGTACCTGTTGTTCCAGGCGACTGAGGTACCGGTTGTCACAGGCGACTGAGGTACCGGTTGTCACAGGCGACTAAGGTACCGGTTGTCCCAGGCGACTGAGGTACCGGTTGTCCCAGGCGACTGAGGTACCGGTTGTCACAGGCGACTGAGGTACCGGTTGTCCCAGGCGACTGAGGTACCGGTTATCACAGGCGACTGAGGTACCGGTTGTCACAGGCGACTGAGGTACCGGTTGTCCCAGGCGACTGAGGTACCGGTTGTCCCAGGCGACTGAGGTACCGGTTGTCCCAGGCGACTGAGGAACCGGTTGTCACAGGCGACTGAGGCACCGGTTGTTCCAAGCGACTGAGGTACCGGTTGTCCCAGGCGACTGAGGTACCGGTTATCACAGGCGACTGAGGTACCGGTTGTCACAGGCGACTGAGGTATCGGTTGTCACAGGCGACTGAGGTACCGGTTTTCCCTGGCTACTGAAGTACCGGTTGTCCCAGTCCATTGTGTACTGGCGGTTTTATGATGAATGCATGCAAGATGATGTCGTAGTCGCTAAGGATAACAACTATATCAGGAGAGATGTAGCATACTAGACGCAAATCTAACGGTTGAAAATTTACTATAAAAAAATCCCAGCAGAGATTACGCATACTGCATGGGCGTTCCATTGTAGCGGGCTGCACTTGGAACGCTGTGTGTAGTTTTAAAATGTACATGACCACATCTTACTCCGGAAGCATCCGTACGTGTACTAATTGGGTGAAGGATATCTATCCCATCATGGTCATTTCGAGGATCCTTGAATTTTTTATGCCTTCTACCTGCTTTCCGACTTTTAAACGCCAGGCTTCTATTCACGTCTAGTATCATTGCTCATCGTCTGACCATTTAATGCTGTATGTTAATTAATGCGTAGGTAGTATTTGGACTGTATACGCGAAATTTCTCCAGAATCTCTCCAATGCTCAATTATGTGTTTCACACTTTGAAATATTTCAGAGCATTTTAAATATCATCGACTAACTGCAGGGCCTGCGGGCAGAAACCTTAAAGCAAATATTAATGTATGGCTTATTTCTACCGCTACAGCATGGCCAACGTTTGGAATGCCAGTTGTCCCAAGACGTCCATCTGTCCCATTGTCACCGGTGCACCGCAACTTTCTCGCTCAAAACTGAAACTGTTCGCCATATACTCATTTCTAAACTTGAAAATAAATTTCAGCCATACTTGCAACCCACCGCAAGTTTCGTGAAACAAATTCTGATCGTTTGACGCAGCAAGCAAGAAATTACTGCGAACAAGAAAGTTGTGCGCTGTGGGCTAAATGAAAGCCGTTTAAGGATACCACCAAATGCAGGTTTGGTTGCGAGGTCTACCGTCCTCGCTTGTGTTCAGTAATTAGCAGCAGCATTTGATGGTGATATTTTACT